GATGTTGTTAGATTTTCCTTTTCCATTAAGGGATAAAGCCAAATCTTGGTTAAATTTATTAGCACCTAGATCAATCAGAACTTGGGGAGAACTATCACAAAAATTCTTTGCTAAATATTTTCTACCCTTAAAAACCGCTAAGCTTAGAAACAATATTACATCTTTTTGTCAGTTTGAAGGGGAATCGATATATGAAGCCTGGGAAAGATTTAAGGATCTTCTTAGAAAATGTCCACAACATGCTTTACCAGATTTGTTAATTATTCAAAATTTTTACAATGGATTAGTAGGATCACCTAGATCTATCATAGATGCTGCTGTAGGTGGATCTTTAATGTCAAAACCTTTTGATGAAGCGTACTCTTTAATTGAAGAAATGACTAACAATTTTCAAAGGCACTCTAAATAGGTAAATCCTAAGAGAGTAGCTAGTATTCATGACTCTGATGTAATGTTTATTTTAGCATCTCAAATTGCTGCAATATCAAAAAAGATTGATCAAATTGGAGTGAACTATTCTCAAATACCACCAGTATTAGAGGAAAATTCACTATGACAGATAATTGATACTCAATCATCTTATGAAACTTTTAATGCTATTAATAATTGAAATAACAATCCCTATTCTAACTATTACAAGCCTGGATAGAAAAATCATCCTAATGTTAGTTGGAATAATTATAACAATACAGTATACCCCTCAGGAAATTTAAACAACCAAGGAAATCCTAATTATCGACCTTATTATCCTCCTGAATTTAACTCTAACCCACAAGTTAAGGAAAAGAATTTGATGATGGAAGAAGTAATGTTGAATATGAGAAATCAAATATAAAATCAAGGGGCTGCTATTGTAAATATTGAAAATCAATTAAGACATAGTGCTACTGCACTTAGTAACAGACCTTCAGAAAATCTTCCAAGTACTGTTGAAGTTAATCCCAAAGATCAAAATAAGGAGCAAATTAAAGCTATTCAATTATGAAGTGAAAAAGAAGTTGAAACAAGAATCCAAAGAGGAACTGAGGTTGATGAGTAGAAGAAAAAGAGATGGAAAGTGACCATAATGAAAATGAACAAACAAAAGTTCCCCTAAAAAAACCATTGCCTCTGTTTTCTTAGCAACTGAAGCATAATAATAAAGACAAACAAATTACAACACTTTTGGAAATCCTTAAAAAATTAACGACTTAAAAAATGGAAATCCTTAAAAAATTAACGATAAACATTCCTTTCATTGATGCTTTGGAACAAATGCCAAGTTATGTGAAATTTATGAAAGATATACGAAATAAGAAAATGAAGTTTGTAGATCATGAGACCTAGGGGTGTAAACGAACCGAACACGAACGAACAAAGCTTGTGTTCGTGTTCAGTTCGTTTAAAATTTAGTTTGTTTGAAATAAGCTCGTGTTCGTTTCTTAACGAACGAGCCGAACACGAACCGAACACGAGCTGTTCGCGAACGACAAGCCAGTTTGACATCCCTAATATTAATATATAAAAATAATATTATATATTAATTAAAATATAATAAATTTTTTATATATAATTATTTTATATTATTTTATATTTCAAACAACAACGATTCAAACACGAACGAACACATCATTGTTCGTGTTTGGTTCGTTTAACTAAGCGAACGAAAAAAATTTGTTCGCGTTTGTCTCGTTTACTCATCGAACGAATCGAACACGAACTCATTGACGAACCAAACACGAACTGTTCGCGAACAACGAGCTTTTTTGACAGCCCTAATGAGACCGTTGCACTTACTGAAGAGTGTAGCTCTATTATTCAAAAAAAGCTTCCTGAAAATTAAAAAATCCTGGTAGTTTTACTATACCTTGTGGAATTGGTGAAAAGTTTTATTGAAAATGCTTTATGTGATTTAGGAGCGAGTATCAATCTTATGCCCTTACCGATCTTAGAGATTTTCCCTCCACCTGTACTTCTTCAGTTAGTTGATCGATCAATAACCTATCCTATAGGAGTTACAGAAGATGTATTAGCAAAAGTGGATAAATTTATTTTTCCTGTAGATTTTACAGTATTAGATATAAAAGAAGATAAAGAGATTCCTATGATTTTGGGGAGATCATTTCATGTAATAGGAAAGCTGTAATAGATGTCCAAAAAGGAGAATTAATCATGAGAGTTAATGATCAAGAAGTAACATTTAATATTGCAAAAGCTTTGAAATATCCTGCAATAGAAAAAGACAATGAATATTTTAGGATGGAAGTTAATGATTATCGAAGAAAAAGCAATTTAAGAAAAAGTTTGAAGAAAAATTAAGGCAAGAAGAATTTAGTGAGAATAAGAATGAAACAAAAGAAGAAAATATAGATTATATTCAGGAAAAAATTGAAACTTTAAATTTATTGGAAAATGATAATAAAAATAAGAAATGCTGATAAGAATCTAGTTCCGTCAATTATAAAATCACCTGAACTTGAGTTGAAAATATTGTCTAATCAATTAAAATATGTGTTTTTAGGAGATTCATTTACATTATCTGTTATTATATCTTATGAGTTAACTAAAATTCAAGAATAAAAATTAATAGAAATGTTAAAAAGATATAAAATGGCTTTTGGATGGACTTTAGCAGATATTAAATGAATTAGTCCTTCAATTTGTATGCACATAATTTTATTAGATTAACAATACGAACGTAAAGCTAATTTTAAAATAGTTAGATGCGGGAATTATATATCTTATTTCAGAAAGTGTTTGGGTAAGTCCAATTCACTGTGTTCCAAAGAAAGGAGTGACCATTGAAATAAATGAGAAAAAAGAATTAATTATAATAAGACAAGTTACTAGTTGGCAAATTTGTATAAACTATAGAAAATTAAACCTGGCCACCAGAAAAGATCACATTCCTTTACCCTTTCTAGACCAAATGTTGGATAGATTGGGTAGAAACAAATATTACTGCTTTTTAGATGGATATACCGGTTATCATCAAATTCTAATTGCTCCCGAGGATCAAGATAAAACAACATTTACAAACCCTTATGAAACATTTGCTTTTCGTAGAATTTCTTTTGGACTATGCAATGCACCTGCAACATTTCAAAGATGTATGATGTAAAAATTTAGTAATTTGATTGAACATTGAATGAAAGTATTTATGGATGATTTCTCTATGTTCGGGACATCATTTGAAACGATCTTTCAAATATTGCATCATAATATCAATTTAAGTGTCCCAATGAGCGAATTTTAACAAGTATATGATCATTCAATTATAAATGTTAAATGATCTTTCAAGTATTGCTTCCTTATAATCAATAAAAGTGTTCCAATGAGAGAGTTTTAACAAGTTTATGATCATTCAATTTAGAGATTATAAAGCCATTTTAACCTTGTATAAATAACCTAATCACATGAAATAAAAGCCATATGATGAAGTATTATTGGTCTATGGCCATAATATTTAAATATTTCACTCCAAAAAAAAATTAATCTCATTTTTTAATGCAGAAGGGATTGAGACTTGAATTTCAAAAAGGCTTGAAGATTTAGAGGACATTAAATCAATATTTGATGGCTACTACCATCAACCATTATCATTTTTTTATTGCACTCGTTAGCCTTTGCTAAACTGTTATTTTCTAACCCAAGGTTGTGAAATTCAAATTTAAATTAGAAGAATGAGTGGTTCAATATTCAAATATATAACAAGGGTTGAATGGGGGTTGATGTAATTGATATTAAAATTATTTTAATATGATTTAAATAATGTAATAATATAAATAACTGATAAATATATGATAAAAAAATAGAACTTAAACACAAGTAACATTTTTAATAATTATATAGAACACTTGACATTACACAATTGTACACACACACATATTTATTTATAGTTTAAAAATAAATATAATATTGATATATAAATAAAAAGTAATTTATAGTAAGATTAAAATATATATTAACAGTGTAATTTGTAATACTTAACAGGAATAAAATGTTTATAGAATAAAAAATTTAAAAAGTAAATTTTATTAAAATTTCTATATTATGCAACTCATTTAATGTTTTCATATAGCAATTCTCACAACCTATTTTTTTTTTATATAACCTAATTCGTATTTCAGTGTTGGCAGTTTCTTAGTCCCTCATAATAATGATATTTTGCATGCAAAATTAAATATTTGAGAGCTATCAATGTAATAAAATTAGGTGTTAACTATGTTAATATATAAGAATGGCTTGTTATATATTTATCCACCCCTAATCGCGAGCATATTTTTTGTCCGGACTCCTGACATAGCTCTAAGTGTCGCACAGATTATTTCTGAATTATTTTCAGATAGGTTATTTTCAAGAATTATGAAATAACTAAAAAATAATTTATAAATAAAGACCACGACGTGAAAATAATTTAGGAATCCGATAAGTTGCGTTTGATGCAGCAGCTACAGAAAAATAAAAAAAAAAGAAGCAAAAAAGCATCCGCCTTCTCTACTCGAACTCCGCTGGCGTTAGATAATATGTTCTTTGTTTCCGACATATTGTCCCGGAATTTAGCTTCCGCGTTGCAGATTAAGGGGCCTGAAAATGGACGGCATCTCCCGGCCGGGGTGTACGAAATCCTAGATATATAACGGGAAGAAAGCAAGACGAACTCCGTTCCGGGTGAGAGAGAGAGAGAGAGAGGAATGACCTCTTTGGTATTTTCGGCCTCCTCCTCTAGCTTGATCTCTTTTCCTTCTCCCGCGCAGAGCCATCCTTTGCGATGCCGCGTTTCCTTGGCATCTTTCTCAACCGCGGTCAGTCTTCCATCCTCCTCTTTTCTCATGCTTTTTCAGATTTATTTAATTATTTATTTTTTTGGAAATTTCCTTGTCATCTTTCTCAGCCGTGGTTGGCCGTCCGGACTTAATATTTTTTCTTGTGATGCAGAGATGCCAAATGGTGGAGCCGCTGAGGTATGCGAACGGTACCCCGCCGCGCATTCCAATTATTAACGATCAGTCGCTGCCTAGTTTCTTAACAGCGCCGCGTGTTCTAGACGGGGGAAGTAAGAACGACACGAGGCTTCGAATCTTTTCAGGGACTGCTAATCCTGCGCTTTCGCAGGTAAGTTAGATTTCCCATCTGTGGAATGTAGCACTTTATATGACTGAATGTACGGTTTGTGTTTTTTTTTTTTTTGGTCTCTCTGAATGGTTGGGATAATGTTAACGACGATGACGATTAAATTATGATTTTATAACTGTGAAGCTTTATGTTTTAGCCTTCGATTGATCATTCTATCATTCTTTTTCTTCTTTTGATTGAGCCCCCATGTCCATGGCGCCCGCAGCTTTTAATTTTTTTATGTTTTTCATTGTTCAATTGAAACGAACCATTGCCCATTTTCTCAAAATGAAATGCTTCTTAAGCCTTATGAGTGATATGATTATTAGTTTGAGCGCTTGGCCTTTTCTGCTGACACTGATAGTATTCTGCAGTACTGTCTGTGTTTCCTTTTCATCTGCCAATTTCTTAGTTTCAGTCAGCATCTTGCGAGCTTTAGTTTCTGTTGTTTATTTATTTATTGTTGGTTTATTGTTTCTCTATCTTTTTCTTTGATAGGTATGGAACTCGCCCTCGTAGTATATAAAATACTGAACGATTCTTATATGATACCGATTCATCTTCCTTCATTGGAGAACATTTATAGGGTTCTTTTGGTATTGTGGTGTAGGTGTGCTTTGTGATGCTTGTGAATTATGTCGGGGGCCCAATTTGAACGTAATATATTAGCTGATGGACACCTATTAACCGAAAAGCATAATCTAATGAGTAAGGGAAACCTCTAGTATTTTTAAGAACTAAATTATTTCACATTAAATCTGGGATTATTCTTAACTTTCATGTGCATCATTATAACAATAATCCCAAACAATCTTCCCTTTATGGATCACCCGTGAGGGTTGGGGCTTTATTTGATGGTATAAACCATCTTCTAATCCTTACCTCTTTGTTTTATGGCTTAGAATCATGATGTTTGTGAATAATACCTTACTAAAGAGTTGAAATATAGAGGGATTGGTTGGGCACATGGTGTAATTTGTGTCAGATTTTAGCATTGCAGTAATTAATAATATATATATATATACATATATATATATATATATATATATATATATTTCTATTATATGGTATATATATATATATATATATATATAACTAATACGCTTTAGAGCTTAATTTAAAACATTGTTAGAAATTTCTATGTTTATTGGCATCTTGAATAACAAATCCTGCTTTTCTTATTATTGTAGCTTAAAAAAAAAAAAAAAAAAAAATCCTATCTTACAATCCTCTTTCCTGAGATTCCTCCACATTTGTCATTATTGCTCCCTAAACAAAATCTTTTTAGTATCATAAAGTGTCATGAACCAATATCCCACACATTCATGTGCAGTTTCATTTATGTTTCCTCTCCGGATTCTTTCTTTAGACCGATATAAGTTACACACTATGCAGAACATTTGTATCTTTTTTGAACCATCAAGAGTTGTAAGTCGAGCCTAATGTTCTAGTAGTGAATGGACACCTATCAACCCTTAAGCTTAGGCTGATTGGCATAAGCCATCATTTTTAGAAACTCGACTATTATTTCACTCCTAATGTTGGACTACTCTGGACCCTTGTGCACATCTCAATGAAAATTTATGTTATTTTACCAAAGATGGATACTTTGCCCCAATTATGGTTGCCAAATTCATAACATCTTAAGAGGGAATACAAGTGTAGGGTTGAGGTTTTAGTTTTATGCTCTTTTCAAAAAGAATGCAATGCAAAAATAATATGAAACCGACACCTAAGAGTAACAATTAAACTTTATGTATACTTTTAAGCTTGAATTATATTAATTTTTTTATAAATGATTAAAATTTTTCATGTATTTGTTATTCATCTTAATGGATACGCTTGATGTATTCAATATTCTATTTTCTCTTCTCTTTTTATTGCGGAATGAATTAGTCTTCTCCTGGTATAAGTTTTTTACTTTTTATTTTTTAGTACAAGAGTGAGAGATATTATCGGAATCACACGACATAGTAGCGAATTATGGGTCGAGATATCCTATACCAACTCTGTTGAAGGCTACATCCAAGAAACAACCAGTAGAACAACCAAACTTGTTAAGAGAATACAACCTATTTTCTTAAAGGAATCATCATAGTCATCCTTTCAGTTAAAAATACAGAAAACATAAAAATATTAAATCAAGTGAGGTAAGACCAAAATTCCAATTGTCAATTTGCATTAGAATAAATCTCTCAATAGCAATGTACCTGTGAACTTTTAGAACAATGTTCTCTTTGTTGTTGATTTTCTGGCTACGTCAGACTATTTACTTGTGCTTACCTTTTATTTTCCAATAACTTGGAACCTGACCAAATTGCCAAACTTTTGTTAGCTGCAACCCTAGTATTTTTCATTTCTGTTGTTCTGCTCCAATAAGATGTTTCTTTTTTATAGCTCATTGTGATATTTTCAACGCGGCATGGCTAAGGCATTTTTTTTTTCTGTTTCAATTAGCAGGAAATTGCAAATTACTTGGGGTTAGGACTTGGAAAAATAAAGATCAAGAGGTTTGCTGATGGAGAGATTTATGTTCAGTTACAGGAGAGTGTAAGAGGTTGTGATGTGTTTCTAGTGCAGCCAACATGCCCCCCAGCAAATGAGAATCTTATGGAACTTTTGATTATGATTGATGCATGCCGTAGAGCGTCTGCAAAGAATATCACTGCGGTTATACCATATTTTGGTTATGCTAGAGCAGATAGAAAGGTTTCACTCTTAGAAACTTTTTGAAACAATTTATTAACCTTCAAGTAATGTTTCAATTTTTTATTTTATTAGTGCAATATTTAAATTAAGAGGAGATTTTAAAGTTGCTCTGTTTTCTTTCTTGCCTTACAATACATTTTTAGTTAGAATTTATAATGCTGGAGGCCATCCTTGTTGTTTTTTGCTTTTGCTTTAATTCTATCTCCATCAGCGGAAACCCACTTGAATGTGGGAACATTCTCTTCTAGCATTACTATACATGTTCGTGCCTGTAACTTGCTTCTACAGCACTCATGCCAAATAACAGTTTTTTTTTATTGATTTATACATGTGTTGACACTGTTCGCTGTTCGTAGGAAGTGGATCTATTGGGGAGGTGTTATGAAATAGCAAGGGAATGAGGATTTGTTAGGTCTGGAAATAGTGGAAATAACCGTGAAACGACGGCTTCTACACGACACGATTGTCAAGGGAGATCCACTACATGTTCATGAATAACTTACAAACACGCCATTTGCAAAAAGAAGATGATAAAATTTTCACTCCTTAGGGCAGTAATCTGAGAGTACAATATCGAAATACAAAAAATTAAAGCAAACTTCTGCAAAACCAAAAAATAAGTACTTTTTAAATAATTCCCAAGCAAAAAATAACCCTACTTCTACTTCAAATAGTATTTAAATTGGGCTCACATGATCTGGTGGCAGTGAATTGGCGGGAAAGCTCTGCTACAACTTTCATGGGATGAAAGCTTGGCCTCCCGCGTCAGGTGTCATCGAACTTTTGTTATTTGTTGCCTTCTTCAATACATCTTTTTACTGTGAATAATGCTTCCTGCTGCCATTTCCTGCATTAGAACTGCTTCGACATAATTGGTTATGATTTTAATTTTTCTTTTTTAATTTTGTCCATTACTATTTGTTTCAATGCTGTGTATTTTGTTTTGTCAGACTCAAGGGCGTGAGTCCATCGCCGCAAAACTAGTCGCAAATTTGATAACTGAAGCTGGTGCAAACCGTGTACTCGCATGTGATCTTCATTCTGGACAGTCAATGGGATACTTTGATATCCCAGTCGATCATGTTTACGGCCAAGTAATATACCTCAACTATATGAATTCATTGATATGTTCAATTATGAGTCTAGATATAACATTCTAGAACTCATATTGTGGGATGAACTTGACTGATCTTGTTTCTTTTATTTTCCTTTGGATATAAATCAGCCTGTAATCCTTGATTATCTGGCGAGCAAGACATTTTGCTCGAATGATCTAGTCGTGGTCTCTCCTGATGTTGGTGGTGTTGCGAGGGCTCGGGCTTTTGCAAAAAAGCTGTCGGATGCACCTTTAGCCATTGTTGATAAAAGACGACATGGTCACAATGTTGCAGAGGTATTATTCCTTCTCTCCATTTGAGAAGATTTTTTTTTAAAGGAAGATTCTTACCACTTAATTCTTATGAATTTACATATCCAACAACTAAAGTTTAATTTTACATATATGCCACCTTACCTATGCATCAAATGGCGCTTTTTACTTTTTAAATGTTAAAGTAGTGATATTTCTTTAGTGATATGAAAGATTTGGATGGTATAAATGTAAAAATTAATGTTTAGGTGTTTAATATGTAAATAGATAAGAATTGGGTGGTAAATATGTAAATGCTCCTTTTTTTTTTGTAAGTTTGTTTGCACTAGCTATTTATCTGTTATGCTTGAAATTTTGTCATGCTCATCTTACTTCTAGAGACACCATATAGATGGAATCTATTGAGCCATTAAAGCTTAACTTGTTTACTTTATTCCTGTCCTCTGTTGAAGTAAAGGCTTATCTGAATGTATTTTCCCTATTAAACTAATGAATGCAAATTATGGCATGCATGTTTCTTTTATAATATAGCTGGCATTAGGGGTGTAAATGAGCCGAGCACGAGTAAGCCTAGGCTCATCTCGTGTTCGATTCGTTAAAAAATACCACCGTTCGTGTTCATCTCGTTTATATTTCGAACACAAAAATTTATTCGTATTCGACTCTTTTGCTTAACGATTCGAACACAAGCTGTTCGCAAACAAATACCATTTTGACAATCCTAGTCATGCATGTAGTCGTTAGGGGTGTAAACGAGCCAAGCTTGAGCGAGTCCAGACTTGGCTTGTTAAAAAATATCACTGTTTGTGTTTGACTCGTTTATATATCGAGCACAAAAAATTTGTTTGTGTTTGGCTAGCACGAACTATTCACGAATAATGAGCTACATTGAAAACCTTAATCACACAGCCATATGATGTTAAGAATAGGTCGAGATTTAAATTTTGTTATTTATATTAAAATATTCATTTAAATAAAATTTAATATATTTTTATTCTATTTTAATTATCAATTTTAGTTGATTATAAATTTTTGTAGGATTGTAGTTAATTAAATTATTTAAAAATAATATTTATTATATATATTTAATTATTTTGAGCTAAAAGGAGCTGAGCACAAAGGAACAAAACTTTATTCGTGTTCGACTAGTTTATATATCAAGCGTAAAATAAATTTGTTTGTGTTTGACTCGTTTGTTTAACAGATGAATCGAATAAAAGCTTCTAAACGAGCCACACGAGCAGTTTTGACAGCCCTAGTCGGCATATTGCTGTCGGCCGCTTTATCTCGAGGGAAATCATTTAAATCTGATTTAATGTATATATGTGATTATAATTTGGGAAATAATATTTTAATTTTTGAAAACGTGAGACCCGAGCGGGTCTCCATATTTGATAGTTTAGATGACTGAGCACGATAGAACAAGTAATACACTATCCCGAAGGATATGCATACAACTTATAAGCAGACTTAATCACTTAAATTAAAAGAACTATGACGTCCGTTTGGTCAATAAAACATTTTATAAGCCGACAAGTTCCCCTATCTAACATGAACAATTAAATAGAGTTTATTTTAAGCTAGCTGGGTTCTTCTGGGTTCTTAAGTTCCCTATAGAGGCAAACCCATATAGTTAATTACATCTTAAATGATCGAAATCACTTAAGAAGGCTCTCGATTAAGATCAGTGGTTCTGCCCTCAAGATTGTAAAATTTAGGTTTCCAAGGATAAATATGACGAAATCAAAGGGAGAAAGGCTCAAAATATGAACAATTATTTTAAAGAGTTAATAGAGTGGAAGGTAGGGGATGTCACAGATACAGGGAGAACCCCGGTGACTTCCCAACTATGATGCGATTGGACCTTTGCTTTATGGAGGCATCCTACACCTCGTCGTCATGGTCTCGATCGTCGCCCCCCGTCCGCTTGCTTCCAAGCTCTGCTTCTCGGGAAGATTACTCTAAGCTCCTAGCAGATCGATTATAGGCTCAGGGTTGTGTATAAAAATGTACAGTTGTTGGGTCAGTGGCTCACTACAGGGTACTTCCCAAACCAGGTGTCCTATTGACCTATAACCTAAAAGTCCCCTACAAGCCTGTAGAAACAACATGAGCTATAAAAGTGAACGTGTGATGTGGCACAATAAACAGTAAGCAGTAGTATTGCAGACATGAATTATGTGTATAGCAGGAAAGCGTACAGTAGCAAAAGGAAACGCTGTAAATGTAAAACAAACCTTCATACCTGACGGGACAGCGGCTCCTGAATGGACTCGAGAAAAAGGCGAAAATTGACCCAAAGTAACTCGAAGAAAAACGTCGAAAAAACGAGGAAAATTCGGAGAAAATTACTTGTGCTTTACAAAGATTTCGATGAAATCGTAGAAAAATACATAAAAATCCTATTTCGATAAAACCTTAGGAAAACACATAAAAATCCGATTTCGATAAAACTGTAAGAAAACACCCAAAAAATCTGAAGAAAAAAAGAAAACCGTAAGCATTCGGGTCGGGCTATGCTCAAAATTAGGTATTCTTGAGGGTCTAGGAAGACAACTATCGGTCACCCGTACGTATAGAGCCTGACATTTACCTAGAAATGTGACTTACTATACCAACTTAGGAGAGTACTCCTTAGCCCAATATCGGTGATTGACAAGTGGACAATCGAATTATATTATTTAAAATTTATATTTTAGCATGCATATATGCCTCATGCATACAAGAAAAGTAATGTCAATTTTGGTAGTCAAAATACTTTAGAAAACAATGTATCTGTTCTTATCGTATATGTTCTTATCATTTTCTTTTTTCTTTGAAAAATATGATTGTCCACAAGTCGATCGAACCGTCGGGCCGGGACCACCAACAACCTAAGAAGGCAAGAGTGTCCCGCTAGCCTGGTGTCAGTGAATAATATTGTCATCCTACACTTCACCGGGTCCCTGGATTGGGTCCCAATGTCGTAGGATGAAATATTATTCCGCTCTACCACCGAATGTTTTTATCATCAAGGCCTAATACCCCACAATGACCGTCCAACTTACGACCTTGCTTGATGGTTTTATATATAGCCAAGGCTATGTACGCACACTTATGTATCAGACATAAATCAGACATAAGCATTTAAAACTGTATCAGACATAAGCATTTAAAACTCAAACCAAGAAGCAAGGAAAGTGAATCGAAAAACAAGAAATGAAAAAAAAAAGAGAAGGCTAAACCTCCTCTAAAATCAATTTAGGAAAGGAAAGCCAAAGCGGTAGGAGGGTTAGCCTAAAACATCCACCTGATGGGACTTCACGAATGATCAATGAGATAAGCACACTTCCAGATGCTAGCCAGGAACAACCCCCGAAATGCACAATTTAGGACGTAAGCCTCAACCTCTCCAAGTCTCTCCTTCTCTTTTGGCTTGGGCGCCGATGTTTCAGCTAAACATATTGACTTTGCTTCTGCAAGAGTATACCCAGGAAAGTAATAATTTCTAATAAAATCCATGTCATCTTCTCCAATGACGAATTAGGGCAATGCCGCTCCCACTGATTTGTCCAAGAGCCGGTCCTCTGATGCGGCAATAGGGTTGGCGGGGATATCTTCCTTCTCCCGTCGTTCCCGTAATTGATCTAGCATCTTGTGGATGAGACGATTATGGTTCCGGCGTTGAGTGCGCATGAGTTTTGTCCTTCCTCCAGGCTGAATATCTGTCGCTGAAGCACTGATAAGCTGACCTTCAGTCGTCATCACCATTGATTTCATTTTTTCAATTTCGGGGCTCTAGGTGTTAGCTGTCCCCTCTTCTTCAATTTCTTTGAATCTTCTTTTCTTCGCGGTGACTCTTTTCTGTTTATTTCTGAATTTCAACACCGGCTTTTGCTCACGAATATCTTCCTGACTTGCCACTGTAAAAAATTCTCCTTCATATTCCATTTCGACATGTTCAAAGTCGAAATCAAAATTAACCACAACATCTCCCTCAATTTGCCTTCTGTCTTGTGCTAAATAGATGCCATTTTTGAAAGTAAAGATTAACCCTCTGCCTTACATCCTCATGCAAGAACAGGAAATAAATCAATGTGCTAAATCCGGATAGAACAAGAACAATAAAAACTTATCTATTAGATAACAAGTTTTCAAAAATTACCTTTCATTTATTATTTATTATTGTTATTTATGACATATATATATATATGTATATATACATAGATATATGTATGTATATATACATAGATGTACATGTATGTATATGTAGATGTACATACATGTATGTACATGTACATACATGCATGTATGTACATGTACATACATGCATGTATGTACATGTACATACATGTATGTACATCTACATATACATACATGTATGTACATATACATATACATACATGTATGTACATATACATATACATACATGTATGTACATATACATATACATACATGTATGTACATATACATATACATACATGTATGTACATATACATATACATACATGTATGTACATATACATATACATACATGTATGTACATATACATATACATACATGTATGTACATATACATATACATACATGTATGTACATATACATATACATACATGTATGTACATATACATATACATACATGTATGTACATATACATATACATACATGTATGTACATATACATATACATACATGTATGTACATATACATATACATACATGTATGTACATATACATATACATACATGTATGTACATCTACATATACATACATGTATGTACATCTACATATACATATATGTATGTACATATATATATACATATATATATGTACATATATATATATATATATAATAGGATGTTGGCGACTGAGGAGGTAGGTGCTCTGCTAGGGTTTCTGAAAGGATGAGGTTTGGAGGCTGCTGGCTGAAGGGGAACTCAGAGGTGGTAGCTTGTGGTGGATACTTCCCTTCAAGTTCTTCTTCCAGGTGGTGGTGGAGACACTTTTGTGAGTGTTTTTTGGTGTTACTGTTCTATTGGTTTCCTCTCT